TCAGAGGCTAAGAGAATTAGTAGAGCTTGGGAGTTGGTAGGGAGGTCAATCAGGGTCAGGCAGGAAGGAGGAGGGTACAGTAAGGGACTTTTGAAGAGTTGGCCAACTCTTGAGAACATTTGAGAAAGAGAAACGAATGCAGTCAACCCCATTCCCGCTAACCTTGGAACAACTGAACACCAACAGCCCCACTGTAAAGCCTGATCACTTGGTGATCATCCAAGTGAAATCAACCTTCCCACTCAGTCAGCTGCTGCTCCAGACTGCTCTGCCTCTAGGGTCTCCCAGAAAGCTCCCTGCAACTCTGCATCTCCATCCCCCCCACCTTCCTTCCTTTTATCCATTTAGCCTCCTTTTCCTTCTCCTTTGATCTCAACCCTGTCTCCATAGCCATCTTTTCTTTCCTTTCTTTTTATCTGCCCCTCTGTATGTAGCCTATACACCCTCTCCTTACTCTCTTTCCTCTCGAACTTTCTAGTTATTACTTCTGGCTGGTAGCCGGAGTACATGGGCTCTGCCAATGCTAGCCAGATCTCAGCTGCATTGCTTATGAAGCTGACATAGCAGTTTCCCCTTCACCAACATAGACACATTCACATACACTCATGAACACACACATATACATATTTACACACAAATGCATTCACACACGTCCATCCACACATTTACACTCGCACGTGCTCTCACACTCACATACTTTCTCATACACACATGCAGCACAACCCACACTCACACATCACTTCTTTGTTGCCAGTATTCTAGATGAGATTCTAATGAAGGGCAAGATTCATTAATTCATGCGGGTGTAGTTGGATGAAGGATGAGAAGCAAAATGCAAATTAGACAAGGTGGGGAGAAAGAAAGCTCTAGACAAGAGATAAGATGCATGGGCACTGTGTGGGCTGTAGGAGGGCAGGAGAGTGGTGGACAGGATGGACTTTGAAGGTCTGGAAGCTATTTCTGAAAAGAGGAGCCTCTATCTCTATCCAGGAACCTACTTGACACATGAGGCGAAAGGCTCCGATGACGCCCCGGACGCCGACACGGCCATCATCAACGCAGAAGGCGGGCAATCGGGCGGGGATGACAAGAAGGAATATTTCATCTAGGGGCACCCGCCTGTTTCCTGTGCCCCCCAGGAGCCCCGAGGGGACTGCTGGGGCCATCACCAACCCGGACTTGTACAGAGTGACCCCAGGGCCGCCCCTCCCGCTTGCTCCCCGGCCCACCCACCCCCCTGTACAGAATGTCTGCTTTGGGTGCGGTTTTGTACTAGGTTTGGAATGGGGAGGGAGGAGGGGGGGAAGGGGAGGGCTGCTCTCAGCCCTTTCCGTGGCTTCTCTGCGTTTGGGTTATTATTATTTTTATAACAATCCCAAATCAAATCCGTCTCCAGGCTGGAGGAGCAGGGGGTCCTAGGGCGAGGAAAGCAAAAGCTGGAACGAACGCTAGGGGGAGAATGAAGGTGGAGGGGTAAAGCAAGGCAAAGGAGCAAGGCTGGTTTGGTGTGTATGGGGGGTGGTTTTCACCATCCCTCCATCGTCTATCATGAAACAGCTTCCCCAGACTTCCCCAGGAGCTGGAGGGTTGTGAGCAGGAGCCAGAGGTGGGTTTTCTTTTGAGTTTTGGACAGAGAGGCAGGGACCACCCTGCACTCCTCTTCCACCACCAAGGGGAAAGCGAATGGAGATGTGGTATGTAGCTAGCCATGCAGGGACTCAGAGCTTGGGCATGGAGAAGATGCAGGTCCCTTCAAGGAGGGGGAGTGGAAGGATGGCAGAGAGTGATGCATCCACTCCTTGCCCCACAGTGAATGGGTGACAGGCCCTTTTCCCAGGAACTGTCCTTGGGAGAGAGCAGAGCACAGCTGTCACTCCTGCAGCAGCTATGGGAGAGGAGCTGTTCTGGGGCTTGGGCCGTATCTGCTTCCCTGCCCAGGGCCCCTCAGTCTTCCCCAGCCCTGGACTGTTGCACGGCAACCACTCCTTTCATGGCATTGCTCATAAACTCCTCCTCCTCCTCCTCTGTGCACCCTATGCCCCTTCCTGTCCCCTAAGCCAGTTCTTAGCTCTTCCTCCTTGAGCAGCCAGGCAGACATAACAACAACAAAAAATACTAAAAGGAGCTTTACTGCACTGAGCTGTTTTCTGCCCAAACGAAGAAATGTGAACTCTGAGTGTGTAAGGCTGTGAATGTGTGTGTGTATGTGTGTGACAGTGATTAAGAAGGAGGGACAAGGGCCTGGGTCCTAGGTAGGTGGGTGGGGTTGTGGGGACAAGTGAAAGAGGGCTGGGGAGTGGAGGATTCCTAGTCAGGTACCTCACCTGGGATGTTGCTCTGTTCTGGTGTACTCCATGACATTCCCAATGTTCGTCTGTCTTGGAGACAGGCATCCCAGGATGCATTGCTGCTCGGTTGTCCATTCCATCTCTCCCACAAGCACAGATCACTCAACCCCTTTGTCACTTTCCTGTATCCGAGCCAAGGAGTCAGTGCCGCAGCCTTTGCTATGCACCCCCAGGCCTCTCCCTGGCACTGACCCTGGAATTTCCCAGACTCCCTACCCAGTGAGTTGAGGGCTAGAAGAGATCCTGTCTCCTTCTCATCTCCACCCCTGCTTTTGATAGTCTGTCTTCCTTCCCTGGCCCAGAGCAGGTTACCTTGGAGAAGAGGTTGCTCCCCCTCCCTGTCCTAGCCAGCCTGCCCCCATCAGACCCAGGATGCCCCTTGGCTCTCACCCCTCCAGCATGTCCTCCCTGCTCTGACAATGGGAGTGCAAAATGGGGGCAGCTGTAATCCAGCAAGTCTGCCCACCCCCTCAGTTCAGGTAATACTGCTGTGGATCTTCCAGCCACAGGTTAGGGCCCTGGACACCACAGGTCACCCCGCTACTCAAGCCAGGGCCCCTTCTCTAATAGCAGCAAGAGAGTCTGAGACCCAGGCCTGTGTGGCTCCCTGGCTCCCAGCACCCGCTTTTGGGAAATTGACTTTTCCTCTTTGAGCTGAACCACTCTGTCCATATTACACAGAAGCCATATTTGTATGGGGGGCGGGGGAGTGAGGGGCCGTTGTGCTGTGTGTGTCTGTCTGTGGGTGGGTGGGTGGGAAAGGGAGCAGGGAGGGGATCGTGTATCTTTATAATCTTTCTAACTCTCCTGTGCTAATCTCAGAGGGGCCACCCTCAATATATCTGGATTATCCGTGTCCTTTTGCTGCCTCCTTTTTGTGGATCTCACTACTGATGGGATGCGTGTATAAAGAGCTGCTTCTCTGGTGTCCTTCTGCACCTGGTACCTCAAGGGGTGAGGTGTCCCTCACCATGCCACCCTCCCAAGGATATCTCTGTGTGAGAAACAATACAACTCTTGAGGGAGATAAGTGTATTCAGCTACCTTTTATCTAACCCCATTTTGCTGGTCTCTTACTTCTTAGAGAGAAGTTGGGGCTGGGGCAACTGAATGCCCAGACCCCATCCTCTGCCATGCAAGGTTGAAAAAGGTTGTGTGGGAAATGACAACCATACCTGGAAAGCTTCGCCAGATTCCCCCCAACCTCATTTTTTAACCCTCCACATGTTGAACCTGGAACTTGAGCTAATGCTCCAGGAGAAAAGGGAAATATATTTTAAGATAACATTTTGCACCCTGGTCTGAGTACTTTGCTCCCAAGCTCAATTGTTATTCACTACCCCACCTCTAGGCAGAGGACTGAAGCTTTTGGGCAGAATCAGGATTAAAACATCCCACGGGAAAAAAAAAAAAAAACAAACATCCCACGAACTTCTTTCTTAGATAAATGATTGCTCACCTTTCTAAATTTTCAAGGCTAAGATTTCCCCAGCTGAGAAAATAAAATGCAGAGAGGGGCAGTGAAACAGCATCAATCCCGGGGAAGCAGTAGGGAGAGGAAGGGGCTTCCTAAGAGTAGGTGCCCTTTCTCTCTGTCAGCCAGTGAGAAATCGAAGCTCTGGCTCCCATAAGAAACTGCACATCTCACTAAGATGCCTCCCAAAACACCCAGTTTCCACAGCTTTTATGTCCCCCAACAGAAATATTACTAGATACAACCCTGCGAACAATGGTCCCATTTTAAAATATGCTGTCCCATGGTCCTGAGTTTACGTTAACTTGTCACACCATGTGTTCCAGTTGGTAGTGAAGATGTGTTCTCTGCACCCATAGGTGGCTAGACAAATGCTCGATTGCTTCATGAAGTAGCTTCATTACATAGCCCTCCCTCCTCTCACACCCATTCCCAGACACAGAGATAACCATACACACATCCAGACACCTGTCCAACACAGATATGCACATTGATACACAAGGACACAAACACACAGCTGCAAACATGCACACACAGATGTACCTTCTTACACCCAAATAGATAGACAGAGCTCACACCCCTTCACAGATCCCTCAGGTTGTCAGCCTCAAGTGGATCCAACCACAAGTGTCTCCTGAGACTTCCTCAAAGCACATAGCTTTTGAACTCTCTGCCTTTCCTTGGATCAAGTTCAAGGGGATGGAGAAGTGAGAGTCATCAACTACCCTTTCACTCTGACTTCCTAGCACATCTCTTATCTCTGTCTCACATTTTACCCTTGGCCTCCTCTTCCTTCCTTATGCTTGAAGAATCCCTTCTTGTTGGAAAGCCCCCTGATTTTTCAGCCTCCCCTTCCAGCAATCTCTCCTCTCTTCACCTCTGAGAAAATACCCACTTTCTGGTCCCCACCTTTTTCCTTTCCTGACTGCAGGTCCCAACCAACAGAATCCAACCTCAAAACAGGAAGCCTGGGGCCAGTGCCCCATTTAGGAATGAGGATTAGGCAGGCTGTGGGTGTGGGGTTAAAGCTTCCTGAATGCCCCTGTGCCCCACCCCATCCTTTAGCCCTCCCCAGAACTTGATGGTCCTCATTAGTCCTTCGCTGCTTATCTTAGAGCCACAGCCACTGACAGTACATCCTAGCCCTTTTCTCTGCCTGCCCTGAATCCAGAAGTGCCATGGGGAACTGTCTACACCCGGTGAGTGTAGGAGACAACCCAACAAACTCTTACCTCTTTTTCCCCATTCCCTTTCTACTACCTCTCTTATTTTCTCTCATCTCTTGGCCCTTCTTACCCTAGTCTCTCACATTTAAGAATTATTTCCCTTCCTTTCTTGCCCCAGTCTCTTGGTCCCCCACTATTAACCTTATTTTAGTTATTATCCTTTTATTTAGTTTAGTTTTATTATCCTTTAGCTCCCTCATCCTCCCTCTCTGGCCTTTCCTTGTTGTTCCAGCCTATTCATTATCCCTTCCTTGGCTTTTCTATGGCTCCTTGTTCTTTTGATCCTGAGTCTCTCTACTTTGCTCTCTTTCACCCTCATAACTGTAGCACACTTTCTCAGCTCACTGGTCTCCCATCCCTAGCTTTCCCACATTCTTGCCTAACTTCCCCCCAGATACCAGGAGACTCTCCAGTGGGGTGAGTGGATGTTCTGATTGCCCCTCTGGCTGTGTCCTCCAGGTGGATCCTTTTATCTCCGCTGACAAGAACTCAAGTAAGATTATCTTCGGAGAAGACATTTGGAAAGATTGGGATGAGTCTTATGAAGACTCACTTGACTACAATGACAGCAACCTGGAAGCAGCCGCCCCCTGCCACTCCTGCAACTTGCTCAATGACTCCTCACTGCCTTTCTTCCTTGTGGCCAGCATCCTGGGGATCCTAGCTAGTGGGGCTGTCCTTTTTGCTCTTCTTAGACCCCTCTTCCACTGGAATCTCTGCCCTGGCCGGCCTATCTTGATACAGTTGGCTGTAGGCAGTGCTCTTTTCAGTGTGGCGGTGCCCATCCTGGCACCAGGGCTCAGCAGCTCCCACAATAGCACCCTGTGCTACCTGGGCCACTGGGTCTGGTATGGCTCAGCCTTTGCCCAGGCTCTGCTGATTGGGTGCCGGGCCTGCCTGGGCCCCAAACTGGATGCATGCCAGGTCCCAGGCCTCACCTTCTGGGTCACTGTGGGACTTTGGGTAGTGGCTTCCCTGTTGGTACTGCCAATCACTTTGGCCAGTGACACTTCTCAAGGACTTTGCACTCTGAAATACAGCAGGGGCCTGGGGACTTTGCAGTACATACATGCTGCAGTCTGTTTTGCCATCTTCTTTTTGTTGCCCCTGGGTTTGGTGGGAGCTAAAGGGCTGAGAAAGGCTTTGGGCAGGGGATCAGGGCCCTGGGTTGATGTTCTGTGTGTGTGGTTCATTTTTTGGTGGCCTCATGGGGTGGTTCTGGGATTTGACTCCTTGGTGAGGTCCAGAGTATTACTCTTGTCAACATGTACAGCCCAGCAGGTCCTGGACCTGCTGCTGCATCTAGCAGAAGCCCTGGCTATTTTGCACTGTGTGGCTATGCCTCTGCTCCTGGCTTTGTTATGCTACCAGACCACCCAGACTTCCTTGCCCTCCCTGCCCCTCACTGCAAGGTGGTCTTCTCATCTGGACACCCTTGGAGGCAAATCCTAGCTCTTGTTCCACCTGTCAACCTGAATTAAAGTGTACATTGCTTTTATGAAGTGGATGGTTTCTTGCTGTGTCTGGGGATGAGGAGGAAAGGAAGGAGAATGGGGACAGAGAAATATTTCACACCAGACTTGCTGTCAGAATCTGTTTCTCTAGCTGGCTCAGGGAGAAAATGAGTAAGATACAAACACCCTCCTCAGGGCACACAGATGTTCTCTTGAGGTGTGAGGTTATAGCCACTTCAAGGGAATATGGAAGGGAACCAGAATATCAAGGTAATGACTAACCCTTAAAAACTAGAAGAAGTTCCTTAGCAGGTAAAGAAAGAAAAGAAGCTACGTAGAACAAGTAGAATCAGGATAGAGACTGGGGAGAGAAGAGCATAAAAAGAGATGAAGATGAAGCTCAGAGCATTACTGCCCCTCCCCTGCCTGGCTTGTCCCATCTTCCTGTCTGCCTTCTATCTCCCTGATATCTGTTGGCTTGTATAGAGACCTGAGTGGTGATAGAGACACATCCTGGAGACTTACTTAGCTCAGGGACTGTACCAAGACAATGCTAAAACCACTTCCTAGGATTCATCTTCTCTTGGAAGGCTTATTCTTCACCATTGCCCTAATTCCCATGTGTGTATTTGTGTGTGTGTTCAATGCACACATCTGTCTGTCTTGATCTGTCAGAACCTATATTCATGTTAGATGCATACATATAATAATGTATATCTTCATGTGTGTTTGTATCTCTGTCAGTGCTTGAAATGCATGTACCTATGTCTGTATCCTGACTTCTCTCAGCTCCCACCCTCTGTTTAATGCTGCCCCCACCCCTGCTCTCAGGATAAAGAATCAGGCTTAATGACTCACTTCTTACTCAAATGATTCCTTTGCCTCATCTTTTCTGTGTAGGATGTGTAGAGGGAAGAAATGATCAAAAAGTCGAGAAAAGTGGAAAAACTTAAGGGAAGTGGGGTTTTATCTGATTTTCTGCTTGGTGGTGGTGGTGGCTGTGTGCCACAGAGTCGGTTCCAACTCATAGTGACCCTTGTATAGGATTTCCGAGGTTGTAAATCATTTTGGAGCCCTGGTGTGGCGCTGTGGGTTAATGCACCAGACTGCAAAGCCACACTAGCTTCTCCTCAGAAACTCTACACAGGGTCACTATGGGTCAGAACCAACTCGACAGCACTTAAAACAACAACAACAAATCATTTTGGAAGCAGAAAGCTTCATCTTTCTCCCACAGAGCAAGTGGAAGATTCAAACATGCCCAGCTTGGAATCCACAATGCTACCAAGGCTCATTCTTTTCTGTTTGGAATCACCCAAATTCCTTTTTCAATCTAACTCTTTATATAAACAAATTAGACTGGAAAGGCACAAACTTTTCCTTCTACACTGCATGCTCACCCCTATATTTTGTGCGTCCCTTTTGCCAATAGTCTCCTGATTACCTGGCTACTTGATCATCACCCTTGAGGTTTTTCCTGAACCTCAATGCAACCGAGGTTAAGTGATGATCGTAAGGGCAACAAGGAAGTCCCGCTTCATACAGGGAATGACTTCTATTGCCACTAAAAAAACCACAACCTCTCCCAAGACTGCTGTCTCTGTCTCTCTCACACACAAACAGATGCATTTCTTTTTCAAAGGCTGGGGAAACTTGAGAGGTCGCCTCGCATCATGTCTGATTCCTGATGCAATCTTGCCGGTTTTTTTCAAAGATGTGCTATACCTGGCTTTGCCCCTAAGGTGTCCTGTTCAACTCTTTGGGCTTGAGGATAAATAGTAGAGTCCCGTAAAAGAACAAAGATGAGTTAGACTATCCTAGGCAGGAGGGTGAGAAAGATGAAGAGAATTTTTCTGGGTGGGTGCTCTGACAAAACCTTTACATTCCCCACCTCCTGTTTCTTAGCAACCAACAAAAGAAGCTGCTGATTGGTGCATCATAAATCGAAAGGTGGGACTAGAGACCGATTGAGACGCGGGAGACACTCCGAAAAGGAAAGAAGGAAAAATGGGGGGGGGGGGGGGGAAGGGAAATAATTTACAGTCCTAAATTATGTTACGATCTCCAACCACATTTCATGAATGGGTCCTAGCACTTTCTCCTTTCTCCTATTACCTCTTCAGCCTCGTCTCAAAATTCCCCTTCCACTGCTGGCCACTCTCATTCTTAACAGATGTTGCCCTCCCTTACAAAGTACAGTACTCTAGTTGACGGGGAGGAGAGGATGTTTTCACCTTCCTGAATTTTCAGCATCAACCTGATGCAAGCGAGGCTTAATTTAAGATCACTGGGGTGATTTTTATTTGTTCCTGCCGGGCACTTCCAGATAGAAATCCCACCACACTCAGTCCTGTTAGGGAGAATCCAGATTCACATCCCTCACAAAAGACATGCAGGGACAGAAACCCAACGCTGATAGGGGTCAGACAGCCTCCCCTACTTATCTCCTTCTCCTTTCAACCCCAGTAAACTTTGCCCCGTTCCTTCAAGGGTCTACCTTTCCCTGTCATGATTGGTGCTGCACCGTGGATAGAGCTTCCTTTCTTCTAACCCTGACTTCAGTCATTTCTGTAAGGCTTCCTCAGGTCTGGTCTCTTTTGTTCATTGAACCCACTGCATGCCAAGCACTCCAAAATTGGTCTGAATCTGGAGTCTTTTCTGCAACCCCTCAGGAATACAAATCCTGTTTCCTTAGAACCCTTAAGAATTTAATCTTAGGGTTGGCAGAGACTTTAGCAGTGTGTGAGTTATTGGGCCTCCTAGCTAAAGAAAAAACCTTCTCAGAGAGATGAGAGCCAGAAAGGCAAGTTCTTGGGAACACAGGAAGCCCTAGGGAAGGTCAATTTGCATTGCATCTTTAAGAAAAAGAGATTTCTTTTTGGTGGAAACTTTGACTATTGAAGCCCAGAGTCCATTCATTTATTCAGTCTAGGACGCGGGAGAAAGATGAGGCTTTCTACTCCCGTAAGGATTTACACCCTCGGAAACCCTGTACAGGGTCGCTATGGGTCGGAACCGACTCGACGGCACGTAACAACAACAACAACAGGACCCCTCCCTGACAATTTAAAAAACAAATACCTGGTCTCTGTACCCTTTTATCTACCCATCATCTCCCTTTTCCCCAACCCCATCATCACTTTGCTTCTGCAGCCATCCTCGGGAGAATTTTGATTGAGAACTTCACTGGGATTTCAAGCCCAATTCATCGTCCAACTCTAATTGCCAGGGATTTGCATGAAAACCATCGTATGCTATCTAATTATTCTGACAACAGCAGCCCGCCGTCTGGGCACAAGGAGAATCGCAGTTTTAATTAACAGTAATGCACCTTTCAGACAAATGTGACTGTTTAGGTTAATTAACAAGTTCAAGTCCCTCCAAATCATCTCTAGACATCTTCTAGGTGATTTAGGCAGGAAGGATACAGGGATGAGAAAACGAGTCAGGAAAAATGCATGCTAATGCTCACCTTTTCTGTAACTATCTGGTGAAGGGAAGAGGGAATCTCTAGGAGACAGGCCTCTGGAAAGTTGGTGTGGAGGAATTTGCAGACATTGCTTTAGGTGTCTTCATGTCACAGTTGAATTTATAAAACTTTTAACCCACAGTTGTATAAATAATAGGACAAAGTCAAGTCGTAATTTTCAAGTGCCTCCAATTCATTGTCTAGTGGTTTGCAAGCTTAGTTTCTTGAATAAGCAACTTCTCATTTCTCCCCACCTTCTTTTTTTAGGCTCCTACTAATGTGGCATTGTAGGATAAATACTGGATGGCAAAGTCAATTTGAACCTCAAGGTCGGTGTTTCAAACTTACCAGCCGCTTCTCGGAAAGACTATACAAAGTCACTATGAGTAGAAACCGAATCAATGACACTTAACACCAACCACATTTTGTAGCACCTCAGTCTGTTTAAAGTTAGCTGAAACCAAAACCAAAGCCATTGCCATGAAGTGGGTTCCAACTCATGGCGACCCTATGTGTTACAGACAGAACTGTTCTGTAGGGTTTTCTTGGCTGGAATCTTTATAGAAGTAGATTATCGGGTTTTCTTCAGGAGGGATGCTGGGTGGATCAAATAATTTGCACTACCCATGGGCTTCTAAAGTTGCCTGATGTACTGGTGTGACACTGTGGGCTAATGCATCAAACTGTAAAGTTGTTTGAACTACAAGGTCGGTGGTTCAAGCTCTTCCTTGGAAATCCTGTACAGGGTCGCTATGGGTTGGGATCAACTTGATGACATTTAACAACAACAACCTCACAAGAGTTCCCAGAGAGAGAGTTACAAGTCCCACCCTTCTGCCTCCAAGAATTATTTGCACATTTTTCTTTGATGGTTCTCCATGTCCTAGAAAAATACACTGTATATGGCTCCAAACTCTTTTCTAAAGGATATAGATTTGTCTTCTTCCTCTGTTGAGGTTAAGTGTTACTCAGTCACTGTTATTTTAAGTGCCACTGAGTTGGTTCTGACTCATCGCTACTCTTTATAGGGCTTCTGAGGAGCAGCTGGTGAGCTTGAACTACCGATCTTGTGGTGAGCTTGAACTACCGACCTTGCAGTCCAGTGCACTAACTCACAGTGCCACACCAGGATGGTTATTATTAACTTTTGGGTAGTCCATAGACCTATTGGAAAAATCTGATGAAAGTTACAGATGGTTTGTTTAAGACAATATAATATTTACACCCCAAATTTGACATTTAACTCCTGTGCATTGACCTTAAAGCTAAATCAAAATGCATTCACACTGACTAATTTGACTTACTTTGTCAGGCTGGGCTAGGTCTCTCTCCCTTGTTTGTTAAAGTTGTAGCCTCAGTGGCAACTTTGCTGTTCTTTGAATAAACAAGTCCTTTTTCCTTTCCAAGACCTCTGCACTTGCCATTCCCTCTGCCTTGAATGCTCTTGCTATTTTCTGTGTTCTTTATTTGACTGTTGCCATTTCATTTTTCTGGTCTCAGTACAAATAGTATCTCCCCAAAGAATAACCATTCAATGGGATGCAGCTCCATAG